CCCAAAGCACCCCAGATGGGACTGAGCCTTCAACAGCTGGGCCTTCAGAGGACACTTATCCAAGCCATAGCAGCAAAAGTCACAGAGGAATGATGGCAGTCCCCCAGTTCTGATAAGCAAAGAAATAAAAATAGTAAATGGTTATTCTCCTGCCAAATTGGCCAAGTTTTTGAAAGTTGGAATTCCACAATGCTGGCAAACAGACACGGATGTCTGATTCAGTATTTGCACTCCCTGCTGACAGGGTTGTCTCTATCAGTTTAACCTTTCCGAAAAGTAACTTGGGGAGATGTAGTCTAAGTCTTAAAAAAGCTCATACCAAACCACAGCAGCTAGGGAGACTGAGGCAGGAGAATCATGAGTTCAAAACCAGCCTCAGCAAGAGTGAAGCACTAAGCAACTCAGTGAGACCCTGTCCCTAAATAAAATACAAAAAAAGGGCTGAGGGTGTGGATCAGCAGTTAAGTGCCCCTGAGTTCACACCAAGGTACACCTCCTCTCCTCCCCCCCGAAAAAAAAAAGCTCATACCCTGGCCAGGTGCAGTGGTGCACACCTATAATCCCAGCTAATCAGGAGGTTGAGGCAGGAGGATTGCAAGTTCAAGACTAGTCTGGGTAATTTAGTAAGACCCTGTCTCAAAATATAAAAGCAGGTTGGGGAGAGGATAGGATGTAGCTCAGTGGTAGAACATCTGTCTAGTATATGCAAGGCCTTGGGTTTGAACTACAGCACTATCAAAAAAAAAGGTTGATGAAGGTTCTGGAACTGGACTATGGTGATGGTTGCAAATGTACCAAATGCCACTGAATTGTATTTTATACTGGTAGCTTTTCAATTGTGTGTGTGTGTGTGTGTGTGTGTGTGTTACAACAATTAAAAAAGAAAACAGATAGGTGCAACACCAAACCGTCTCTAATCCTAGCTACTCAAGAGGCTGAGGCAAAAGGATCACAAATTTGAGGTCAGTGTGGGCAACTCAGGGACAGCCTGTCTCAAAATAAAAAAAAAAATAAATAAAAAGGGTTGGGGATGTAACTCRGTGGTAAAGCACCCCTGGGTTCCATATACAGTACCACACACACAAAAGGAGGGGCTGGGGATGTAGCTGAGTGGTAAAGCCCTTGCCTAGCATGCACAAGGTCCTGGGTTCAATCCCTAACACTGCAACCAGCAAACAAAACTCTACCTTTCACCCAGCCATTGCACTTCTGGCAATCTGAGCTGAAGGAAATAATCTAGGGGAGGCCCCAGGCCCATGGAAGCACTATTTATATCAAGAAGTTAGGAACACCAAATTATACTGTTATATTGTGTGTATGTATGAATATGTAACAAGAAATCCCACCATTATGTACAATTATAACACACCGATTTAAAAATGTGGGGGGAAAAGAAGTTGGGAATAATATCAATGTCTTTAAACAGGGACATAGTTAAATGCATTACAGTACATTCATATTGTGGAATACTATGTAACTATTTAAGTCATGTCTTCAAATAATTTTAATAACATTTTGTTAAATGGAGAAAGCAGGTCATTTAGTTTGATTTTTACACTGTAATAGAGATGTACCTACTGACATGTATCAGTAATGGATTACATATACCAGTAATGACATAACGGATTGCATTTATATATATTTGCAATCGTACCAAAAAATTTTCTAACRTCGTTCCTGACCCTCCCTAGATAAATCAGGCCCCTCTTCCCTGCCCCGCCCTCTCTGAGGCCTCATGTAACGATGAATAAAAAATAAGCTGACTGGGACAGTCTGGACCACAGGGTTCCTGTGTGAATGTGGTTTTGTGAAAACACTAAAAAGAAGAATAATCAGAGAGTGTTGCCAGCAGGTGGTGTTTATAAAGTTTTTATTTTCCATTTTCTTAAAAATAACATTTGATTTCCTTTATGCATGTGTGGAGTGTACTTGTTCCTTAGGCTGAGTAATAGGCAGATAAAGACAACACGAGGCGTGGGGTCCCCAAGTGGAGGCGGGTGGGGGGTCGAGTGTGGGAGGTGGGGTGTGAGGGGGTGGGGGACGCAGGGGAGAGGGAGAAAGTGGGGTGACCGAAGGGACGCTTGAGTGCCCATCAACGCACACACAGGTCTAACACTTTGTTTCTCAATTTTTTTTTTAAGACATCTAAAATTACTGAGAGATACGATTTCAGCACTGAAGTCTACGGACGGAAATCCAAGCACTTGAACACGACTCTTAACTCTAAGCTCAGTTATTGCACGTCACACAGTTTAACTAGCTGCAGGCTACAAGCAGTTTGCTCTGCTGGGACTTCCTTAGGATGTCTCTGGTCTCCTTTCCCACCCCCACCGTCTCTTCCCTGGGAGCCCCCCCCCCCCCACCCTGCCACCAGCCCGCAGCCCCATGATGACCCCCGATGTCAAAAATCTGCCATTCTCCCCAAGGGCTGCGGGCTCAGGYTTTGGTGAAATGAAGGGTTCCCGTGTCGATACCAATGGACGCCCTCCCCCCAGGGGTAAAGAAGGAGCTTCCACTGAAGAGGTGGCCTGCCCCCTAACACCAGGTGGGCAGGAGGGAGGAGAGGTGACCACCTGCCACGTGTGTGGTCACTTCCCCAGCAGGACACTAGGGGGCAGCCAAGCTGTCTCTCCCTCTCTCCAGCTCGGCCTCCTTCCTGAGCTTCCCAGACCAACCCCTCCTCCATCACCCTCAGACCCCAGAGTGGTCTCTCAAGGCACATTTATTTCTCGAAACCCCCCCCCCCCATCTTACACATCCATCTCTTCCACCATCCACGGGTCCAGATGACCCAGGAATGCAGCTCTGGGGCTGGGCAAGACTTGGTTCTGCTGCAATTTGGTTGAGCTCTGGTCCATGCAGCCCTCATTGCCTGGCCTGCCTGTGCCAGGGGAGTGCGGGCAGGAAGGGGCTGGGAGGGCTGGGGGCAGGCAGCATGAATCCCCCTGGCTGAGGGAAAACCAACCTGCAGCCTTGCTCACCAGGAGTCCTTAGGCTCCAAGTGACAAGAGGTCACTTGGAGGCCTACAGCCCCATGGGGAGTAGCTGCTTTTGAGGGGGTGGGAAGCAGTGTGGGAGCTTCATAGACAGGGAACTGGACCCCTGCAGGCCTGCCAGGGGCTAGTTCAATTCCTTTCACTTTCTTTCTAAAACATATTTACAAGGTCAGAAAAAACGTGCACAATCGGAAGACCCAGAGACACGGAGAGCACGGCTGCCGCAAGGGAGGGCAGAGGAAGAGGAAGAGTGAGGCCCTTTGCCTGCCCTCCCCACCCCAGAGAGCCCTGGCTTTCCTCAAGCCACCGCAGGACAATTCCAGGAGTCCAGCTGGGGCAGAGGAAGAGACAGACTCAGATCCTAGCAAGAGCAGGAAGTTTCAAGTAGCTCCCAGTCAAAGGAGTAGCCAGCCACCTCTGGTGAACAGAGGGCTGATGTGACTGAGCAGGGGACCAGAGGCAGGAGGCGGGAGCACAGGGCAGGGGTGGTCGGGGCAAGGGGCTTGGGGGGTCTGGAACAGCGCAACACCTCAAAGATCAGAACTGTGCTGCAGAATGAGAAGCGCTTTATGGGGCTACGTGGAGTTTCGTTATTTCCCCCAAGAGAAGGCTCAGAAGATGTCGGTTCCAGGGTGGAGTAGAGGGGTGGACAGGGCGAGGCTCTTCCACGGAGTCCAACAGACCCTCAGCAGATGCAGGGAGACGCTGGGGAGAGCAGGGGGCCCTCCCCACACTCCCAGGCCACCAGGATGGCCCCCAGGTTCACACACACACGCCCACACACGTACACACACACACACACACACACACACACACACACACACACACTGCACTCTCCATGCACCCAAGGGCGCCAGAGGCCCGGTCTGGGTAAGAGATTCTCTACCAAAGGCATAAGGGATTGGCTTCCGCAGGGAGAACTGGGCTACTCAGGAGATACAACAGTGAACGCACAAACAGAAACCACAGGGCGGCTTCTCCTCTGGGTAAGATGGCCTTCCACCTGCTCAGGAGATTCGGGGAACGGTGAGGTGTGGCCTGGGGCCTAGTGGCCCCCTCTCTGTCCCCGCTGACAGACTTTTTACTATTCTTTCACACTACAGGGCTTCAAAACAGAACTCGGAGGAGCCCCTTCACTAGGGCAGCCCCTGGGGGCCCTCAGGGGGCAGAGGGAACCCCCAGGGGCTGAGAGGAATGGGCTGGGRGTGGCCACTGAGGCTCAAGGAGAGGAAGGATCCCGGCCTCAAAAGGTGGCAACTTCCAGCCACTTCTTCTCAGGGTCCAGGGAAAAGTCTCTCCTCTGGTTTGGGCAGGAGGGGAGCATTGAGGTGGGGTCAGGAAGGTGGGCACACACCTCTGCTCTGGGTCTTCAGGCTCCCTGGAATGGACAAGAGGGACCCCAGCATGGGAGACGGAGGCGAAAGCAGCATCCCTGCCAGACTGTGCCAGCGGGGAGCCAGGTAGGGCTGGACGGCATGGCCTCAGCCACAGTCTCCAGGCCAGCAAGCACCCAGCCACAGCCGCGTGCGGCCYGCGGGGCGCCAGCGGGGCTGTTCTGGGGTCTGGCAACCGGCCGCTCCTCTCCTCTCTGAGGCCCTGCCCAGGACATGCAGATCCCTCAGCTGACCGCCCACTCCTGCCCTCCTCACCCCTCCCTGTGCCTCTCCCTCTCTGCCCCAGCTCCTCCTCAGCCCCCTTTGGTCACTCTGGCTTGGGTTAGGGGAGTTTCTCCAGTGCTTGAGAACTCGGCAGAGGGACAGGGCTGGCTGTGGCCAGTGTCCTGGCCCATCATCTGAGGCCGGTTTCACATCAAATCTGCCCAACGTTGGGAGGACCTCCAGCCCACAGAAAGCAGCCTGCCCTCCCTCCCCTGAGGCCCAGAAGTGGGAGGGAGAAGGGTAGGCAGGGGCAGGAGGGGGCAGGGCTGGCTGAGCAGGGTGGGAACCCCAGAGTGTTGGGTGGGGACAGGGACGGGCATTTCAGTCCATTGATTTTGGTGTGTGGTTGTGTAGGTGTGAGTGTATTTTAAAACCAACGACAAATGGAAAGAAAACTACAGGGCGGCTGAAGGGACCTTTGGGGTCAAGGACATGTTGGTCAGCGCATGCCACACGCACGCACACACACACGCATTCACCCGTCCCAGCCACACATGCCTCACACGTATCATGCACTCACACTTCGAGGCCTCCCCACTCGAGCCAGGGTCCTTCCAACTGGTTTCTGGATCCACTCGCTAAGCTGCCCACTGCTGTCCAGGTCCCCGCTGGCCCGTCTCCCTGGCCGTYGGCACCCTGGCCCGCCATGGCTCCCAAGGGCCATCTACCAGATGTAGCCTCCGTCGTCCGCCTCGCCCACCTCGCCCTCCTCCTCCTCGGCCTCCTCGCCTGCTTCTTCCGTCTCCTTCTCCTCCTCGTCCTCCCAGCCGACACCACTCCCAAAGTCCCCTGAGAAACCCACGATGTCATCTGTGAAAGCACAAGCCAAGCTGGATCAGGACCCCGCTGGCTGCCCCTCTGCCCCCTCAGCCCTCCCAGCGCAGGTCCTCAGCAGCCCTTACCGCAGTCGGGGCTCCCGTGCGTGCGGGTGCCGGTCAGCTCTAGCCCCAGCTGGTCCACACACCAGCAGTCGCCGCTGTTCTGGTCACACTGCATCTTCCGGTAGTAGCCATCCTCGTCACAGCTCGGGATGAAGATGCCTGAGTGGGACAGGRCCCCCAGAGTCAGAGCAGGGATCCAAGGCTACCGCTCTTCCCTCGGAGCCTTAAGCATGCCCCACAGCCTGGCCAGCACAGCACTGCCCACTCAGCAAACCCAGGTGCCCAAGGCTAGTTTCTCCCAGCTCCACTGAGAGGAAACAAGAAAACCCACTTCAGGCAGGAGCAATGGTGTACACCTGTAATCCCAGCAGCTCAGGAGGCTGAGGCAGGAGGATCATGGACTCAAAGCCAACCTCAGGAACTTAGTGAGGCCCTAAGCAACTCAGTGAGACTCTGTCTCTAAATAAAATATATAAAAGGGCTGGGGATGTGGCTCAGTGGTTAAGAGCCCCTGGGTTCAATGTCTAGTACCAAAAAAAAAAAAAAAAAAGAAAATCCACTTCCCTAAGTGACCTGCTAGGGCCTCTGTGATGGCTCCTTGGCCCATGTCTTCCAGGACGGCCAGTTTGCTCTCATTATGCCCCGTGTCCCGGATCCCACCGCCTGGCTGTCCCTGATCAGGAAACCGGGGCTTCTCCTCCCAGCCCTTCCCAAGGGGACCTGCCTTCAGGGCCCACGCACTGGTCCTGAAGTGCTGCATTTCTGTCCATTTTCCAGGCCTGTTTTGAGACGACTCTGCCCACTTGGTTGGGGGAGAAGACACGGGGTAATACCAGGTACCTTGGGGTGGGTGCCCCAGGCCCAGGGGGTCTGCTCGGGAATAGRGGAGAAAGGACTGCTTCCAGCAGACAGGAGCCCACCCCGGCCCCTGAAGGCCCCGGGCTTCCAGCCACTGTGGCATCTAGGGGTGCTTCCAGGTTGGATGCTAAGTATGCTGGTCTCCTCAGCCAGCCACATGTCCGAGTTGCTCTCAAGGAGCCACAAGGCTCTGTGTGACTTGCCTCTTGAACCTCTGTCCCTCTGACTATCAAATTCTAATCACATGGTCCTTTTTTTTTTTTCTGTTTTCCAAGAATTCCCAGCTCAGTCCCGTCCTCGACTCTGCACTGGTCTGGCTCATTCTCCTCCCTCAGCTCTCCCTGTAACTCCAGCTCCCCAGAGAGGCCCCTGCTGACCCCTCAGGCTAACTCACGTCCCCCTGAGCCCTCCCTCAGCAGTGTGCACAGGTCAGTCAGCACCTCTGTCCTTCTGTGGGATTTTGTGTGTTAGACTGTACCAAGGCCTTACGGGCCAGGGACCTCGTCTGTCTTGCCCAACAGTTCTGACTGAAGCTGGGTGTCTTGCTCTCTCCCCCCCAGGGTGTGTGCAGAATGTGAGCACACATCTCCCCCTCTCCACATCCACCCATCAAGCTTTACACACGCACTTGCTGAAGTGAACAGAATGGAGGATTCTAGGGTCTTTCTGTCTCTCAACCTCCAGCCCCAGCACAGGTAGCCGTAAAATGATGCTGAAAACACACTTACCAAGGGGCAGAAGGGGAGGCCCTGGCCCATCATGTAAACAGAAAMAGGAAGGTGTCTCCCTCTGTGACCTGGGCCAGAGCCTCATCCAGGCTCAGATCCCACCCTAAGGTGGGTCGGCAGTGGGGGATGGGGGGTGCTGCAGCCTCCAAACCACAGGGGAATCCAGAGCAGCCTCCCTGCGCCTCCTGCACTCCCTGCCCAACCCTCACCTGGTTTCTTCTTGGCAGCCTCCTGGATCTGGATACGCTCCAGTTCCGCCAGGCAGGGGGGTTCTGTGGGGGAGAAGCAGCCTCTCAGGGGTTGTCCCATTGTGCTGACGGGACACAATGAGCCTCCAAGGCCTAGAGACCCCAGCAGGGGCTCTGCAAGATGAAAGTCAGGCTCAGACATGGGGCCACCCCAGGGTGGAGGTGGGGTGCACTGAGACCTTGATGGTTCCCCAATCAGGACAGGGGCTCTGAGGATGAGAACCCCAGTCTCTAATTGGAGGAGGCCACCCCGGCTGTGGGATGGGTCTAGGGTTCTCAGAGGGTGTTGGTATCCAGGGGATAAGTCAAAAGGATTCAAAAGAGAAGGTGGGGTGATCCTGCCAACACCCTGTGGGGAGACCCCCAGGAAAACCTAAGACTGGAGGAATGTGAGAAAGATCCTGCAGGCCCGGGAGTAACTGGGGGTCGACCTCTGCCTTTGGGACCTGGGGACGTCACCAGCTCTCCAAGCTGCCTGAGGGTCAATGAAAACAGTGCCAGCCTCCTTCCTGGGAGGCTCCCAGAGGGTGACCAGGCCACACTCACTCTCCCTCCAGAAGCAGAAGCACCACTCGGCAGTGGACACCCGACCGTCCTTGTAGGTGTCGCAGGAATTGAAGAAAGGGCGGATGCAGACCTCGTACTTGTCCAGGTTGATAGCGGCCAGCTCGGTCTGGTCCAGGAAGAGGTCAGCACTGGTGTCCAACTTGGAGAACATCCAGCCAATAGAGTCCTTGCAGCTGGCCCCCAGGCTTTTGTCCAGCCCTGGAGAGAAGACAATTCAGACAAGCCCAGGGCACCTGCCCGTCCAGCCGCCTCTTCCTCAACCCCGGCCTTCAGTTCAGGGTCAGGGCAGCCCAGAGTCTAACCATGCGGTTGAGAAACTCAAGAGTGGCCAAAGGTCCTACCTCTATTGCTGCACAGGTCTGTACCTAAACCACTCAAAATCCTGTTGTAAAAACACTTGAAAAAATTTTTATTCAAAGAATTTTGAAATTCTTTGAACTCAGGGCCCAGCACATGCAAGGCAATTGCTCTCCCCCTGGGCTACATCCCTCACGCCTAGAAAAAAATAATGTTTTTGCTTCCCTTGGCTGCCCACCCATGTTCACAGTCCTTCCTATTAGCTAGCTATTCGCTTCCTGCTGTAGTTGAAGCTGACCTCCCCTTCTATGGGGGTTAAGTTTGTGGGGGAGCCGCACTGCAGGACTGAGGGTCAGGCAAGAAGGAGTCAGGGTGGGCTGGCCCTGTGCACACCGTCTCCTCAATCCCTCCCTGTCCCTCCTGCCCCGCCCCCCGCCCCCAGGCAGGGCCACCAGCTCCTGTACCAGTGGCCGGGCTGGCTGCTCCGCTGGCCGAGCCGTTCTGCTTCGAGTTCTCATGAAGGAGCTGGAACCAGTCCCGCAGCCGATCCCCCAGGTCAGCCAGGTCCTGACCCGTGCAGGTCTCTGTAGGTGGCAGAACAGAAAAGGGCGCAGGGGGTGGGGGTGGGTGGGGGCAGCAGGCTTGATCTCCGCTTGGGATCCTGCCCCATCGTAGGCCAGGAGGCCGGGCAAGACCAGAGTGGGGAAGGGGAGGTGGAAATGAGGAGCCTCCTGTCCCAGCCTCACCATAGCTGTCTCCCCATCCCCACTCTCCTTCCTAGCAATAAGAGTAAGGTGCAGGCTCCCTGTGCTGAGTCCCCCTCCACCCACCTTCGCACTCCCAGGGGAGAGGCGTGAGGGCTGAGGCCCAGGCCTTCTGCTTTGTCCACCTGGGCCACTGACCCCCGCTCCCAGGTCCTCCAGGCTTTTCCTTGTTTTTGTCTCTTCTCTTCCCCACTTTGCAACCCGGCCGGCCGCCCACCCCAGCCTGGCCGTGGCCCTGACCTCTGGTTACCTGACTTGCCTTCGGTGGTGGAGGTGGCAGCCTGCTCCGTGGGGCAGGGACAGGGGCCCTCGCATCTCACGGCCAGCTGCTTGCTGCTCAGGCAGGCCTGCTGCTCCAGCTTACACTGCACGAGAAGGGCCGGCTGGGTCATGGGGCAGCTGGGGCAGCCTCGGGCCTCCTACCACAGTGGCCACAGCTGCTCCCCCTAGAAGGCCCTCCGTGCCCCTCTGCAGACCGTGGCAGAGACGGCAAGCCCAGGAAGGGTGTCCGAGGGAACAGCCCAGCTTTGGGAAGCTGCCAGGAAGCCCGGCTGCCCCCTCTGAGGCTCTGCCCTTCCCTGGGCCCACCTCCCGATCCAGCACTCACCCCACGCCCCTCTTGGCTGCCTAGTGCCCACCTGTGCTCTTGTGCCCAGCCTCCTCCTTGTCACAGTCCCTGGGCCCCAGGGATGGGCCCTCCATAGTCATGCTCTTCACACAGCCACCCCTCAGCCCTCCTGGTTACAAACAGCCGTCATCTCTTGACATCTACCCACCCCCAGCCTCCAGCCAGGGTCTGGGAGAGGCTCCTCCGTTCTTTGCCAGTAAAGTCTCTTTCCCTGGCTGCACTGGTTTTTCCCCATGGGGTGACCACCACTGTGAAGTGGGCCCTGTGTAGCATTTCACAACTTTATCTCCCTCAGTCCCTTCCGCCCTGCCAGGAAGGATCGGATTTCTCCTGCTCAGCAAAAAACATCAAGGCCCAGGGAGGCTCCGTGACATGCCCAGGGCCATGGGGCTGGGAGGGAAGCCAGACCTGCTCAAGACCTCTGCCTCCCTACTGGACAGGGTGACCCTGGACCACAGCCTGCTCTGCCCTCTGACATGGGACGTGAGCTCTCGTCCTTCTCTTCCTCCTCCTCCTCCATCTCTCTGCCCCTTTGGCGCTCTCTGGCCTCCTGCTCATTCTCTGTCCCCCCTCCCACCCTTCTGGGGGACCTCCTCTCTTCAAGGAACCTCGATCTTCACCACAGCCGGGGACTCTTAAATCCGTATCTCACTGCAAAAGGGCTCCCCGGGCCCAGAACCCAAGCCTGGCCAATAGTGCGCTTGCCCAGAGCTCAGCAGTCCCAGCTTCCTGTTGCCAGTGGAAGCGTCCATCGTTAGCGCCCGTATTTCCTTGGTTCTCCGAAGTTTATACAATACTTTCAAAATATCATCTCATTTAGTCCTCACAAACATCCCATAAGGTGTTCCTCCAGTTACGGTTCTTCCCCGCAGTGTCTTCTCATGGAGGAGTACTGCCTGCTGCCCCGAGGGCTCCCTGCTGCTGGGAACCCATGGCCTCTGTGTGGAAATGGCCCCCTCTTCACCCCTGCACCTGGTCAGCAGAGCGACTTCCTCTGGGGGACTTCTGGGAGGCCCTTCCTCACTCTACTTGCAGTTACCTGCCCATGTGTCTCCTCCAGGCCCCTCCCACTCCTGCACCTGTCCAAGGCCGAGGACAGGCTCTGGCTCCAACCCTCAGGTCACTTCAGCCAGGGTTGCAGAGGTCCCTCCTGTTCCCTGCAGGATGGCTGCCCTGGATGCACTAGCTGGACTTTCGGGCCCCCATCAGCCCTGGGAACCCCTTGGGAGGCCCCAGCTGGTTGTCCCCTTGGCTCTTGGTGGCTTCAGGTGCACCCCACCCCCACCGACTTGGGTGCAGGACTTCTCACCACAGAGCTGTAAGTGTGGCCATCGGAGCCACAGACAGAGGCTAGCTGGGCCATGTGGCAGGGCTTGCAGATGGAGTCTTTGTTTCCATGGAGTTTCAGGGCGGGCTGCTTGATCCTGCAGGAGAAGGAGGAAGGATATGGGAAAGAGGAGAAAATTTATGGGAAAGGGTCAGAGAAGGTTCAGGAGAACAACGTCAACAAGAGGCCACCTCCCTACCCTGCCACCCTCTGCTATCACCCCCAGCCAGGCCCTCCTCAAGCTCATGAGGGTGGGCCCTGGTGGGTGGGCCACGGATTGCAGCTTGCTCTTTCCCAGGGGTTCCTGAGTGGGGGCTTCAGGGAGCAAGGCCAGGGCTGACTGGCTGCAAGAGGTGGAGGGAGTTTCATCTCATGTGAGGGTCAGACCAAATCAGAGGTGGCAGGCCCATAGCTCATCCTGTCTGGCCTCCAGGCTGATGGTGGTTGCTTTTCACTGAGTTATTCACCAACATTTGCAAAATGGGAGAGTTCACATAAAACCCTGGATTCCTGGCCTTTCTGAGACACGAGGGACATGTGGCAGACCCTGTCCTGCGATCCCGCGTAGCTGGAATAGATCAGCTGGAATAGAAGCTGCCCGCTTCCCACTGGGCCAGGCCTGCCAGAGAGGCCCCTCACCAACCCTCTCCATGCCAGGCCCCTCGGGCATCTAAGATCACAACCCCCAAGTCTTGTCTTCCATGACCCAGGAGGGAGGTGAGGGAAATGGGACCTTTTCCAGGGGTCTGGAGTTAGGCAGGGTCTGGTCCTTGGACTGGAGCTAAGGCTCTTCAAATGCCCCTTCCCCCTTCTCCAACTTAAGCCTCAGAAGCTACAACCTTAACTATTTCATGAAGCCCTGCATGTCAGAGCAGGAAGGAATGTCATTATCTGGTCTAACCTATTTGTCTTAGAGATAGGGATACCCTAGCCCAGAGAGGAGCTATGATTTTCCCTAGGTACCACAGCGTTTGGTAATTATTCTCCCAAGGTATGGCTTCCTCTTGTTGTCTCTCTCAGATGACTCACTTCATGGAAAGCCAGCCGCCATGTTGTGGGGAGACTCAACTATCCAGGGGGTAGGGTCAGGTGAGGAACTCAGGCCTCTGACCCACAACCATAGAGGAACTTGGAAGTGAGTCCTCCAGTGCCCTCCAGCAGTGTGACTGTAACCTGTGACAGACCCTGAGCCAGAACCATCTCGGGATTCCTGACACTCAGAAACTGTGAGAGAGAGCACGCGTTGTTCGTTTTTGTTTTGTGGCAAAAACGCAGAGCTGACACACAAGGAGTGGTCACCTGAGCAAGTGTCTCTAGGGCTCCCCTCCTGCCCCTCACCTGTGCTCCAGCTTCTTGCGACTGATGCACATGGCCCTCTGGTAGCCCTGGGCGATGCACACCTTGTGGCGACTGCACTTGACCTTCTGGCAGGGGTCCTTGGTGGTGTCCAGGGCTGCAGGGACACAAGGTCGGGACACTGATCACCTAGGAGTACTCAGGAGCCCCCAGCCCTACTTCTGAGCTGGGAGGCCCCTCCCTTCTGCAGCCTTTCATAACAGAGCTCCTGAGTGCCAAAGTCCCACCCTGGCTGGTCAGGAAGCCCCCCAGGCCAAGACCAGGACTTGCCCTCGGGTCCCACATCTTCTCAAAATGTCAGTCCCCATGGAGGATGGGCCTGTTACCTTCATCTCCTTGCTGGTTGTCCTCCCAGCTCTTGATGTAGTCGTCCTAGAGGACAGAGGGCAGGGAGACGAGGAGGGCTAAGGTTCCCATCCCGAGCTGAGCTCAGTGACCACCACACTCACAGGCTCGGGCATCCACATGCAGATTGCTGCCTTCGTGGTCCCAGATGACCCTGTCCACCCAGGCCATCCCAGCTGCCTCCCCTATGCCTCTGTCCCCCCAAACCCACATCCAGGCTCCTTTTCAGCCTCTCCTGTAAGGGTCTCACTCTCCCAGCCCAGACTGGATGTTGGCAGAGGAGCCGTTGGGGGAGGGTAGCCAGGGGAATGGAGTGTGGAGAGGCCACACACCGGGGCCCAGGCAGGACTCACCTCCACCTCCTGGAGCCAGGACACCGCAGCAGGCCACAGTGATGAGCAGGAGGAGAAAGAGAGACAGACGGGGACTTCAGTGTGAGGCCTACCCTGAGGCCACAAGGTCCCAGGGTACCCCTGGCCTTGTGTGCCCCTGGGTGCTGGGCTATGTCCTTGGACAATGTCCTTGTCCCTAGGGACTCCAACTGGGAGTCAGTTTTCCTACATCGTCACCATGGACAACTTGGGCTCGCCCTAGGAGCAGAAGGGTGAGGCCCATGGATTTGAGAAGGTGACAACCGACCCCAAGCCCAGCCCAGGTACCACCACCAGCACAGATGTCTGAAGAGTCCATACTGCCCTGGGTCAGTGACTCTCATGACTGTGCCCTGGTGGCCCAGAAAGGGCACACTCCTTCTTCTGCGAGGGTCCCTTCCTTAGCAGGTCCCCACCCCCACCCCACCCCCACCCCAGGTTCGGGGGACTCTTTCTCACTCAAGGTCCCTTCCTTCCCCGCAGAGCTCAGGCGGCACCTTGAACCAAGGGGGTGGCCACGCCAGTGACGACAGCTTCCCTATTTATCATGGTCCCACTTCAAGTCAGAGGAACCTGAAAAGGCCATCTGAGGTCACCTCGTCCAGCCCCCTTTGAGTGCAGGAGAGACCAGGAAATGACCTGGCACCTGTCGGGGGTGGTCATGTGTGTACTCGGGCGGGGGGGAAGGCCAGGRAGCCGGCACGCCTCCTCATCCTGAGTCCCACCCCATCCCCGTCAGAGACGTGCAGTGGAGGGGACAGAGGCCATACTGCAGGGTTGGGGTGGGTAGGGACCAGACACTGAGCTGCCACACCCGAGAGGGGCCGGCATGGGCTCTGGCACCAGAGGGAACCTGGGAGCCCACAGGGGTTTTGGAAGCCCAAGGGCTCCAGCTTCCCGAGCACCCCCTGGAAGCCGGCCCAGGTACACACATGCACGTCCACGGGCATGTGTCATGTGTGCACAGGCGTGTGTATTTACACGTCTTCATTTGCGTGAACGCGCGCATAACCCACAAGTACACAGCACGTGAGAAGAAGGGCACTGAGGCGGCCCGCCCAGTGCCAGATGGTTTTCATCCAGAAATGAACTTCTGTGAGCAGCCTCCGGTTTTCACACTGGGAGCCCAGCCCTCCCCTCTTGGGCTCAGCCTTCCTGCCTCTTCCACAGTAAGGGGAGGGCAGTGGGGGAGGGGAGGGCCCGGGAGTCACTGAGTGACCTCTCCCTGAGGGTCCACACGCTCTCTGTTTCTCCCTGACTCTCTCCTCTGACTCACCTTTGCCTTCCCCCTGCCCCTTCACTTTGCCTGCCCCTGGCCCCCTCAACATGACCAAGCAGCAAGTGTCCTGTGGCCCTAGGGCCCTGAAGCAGGCAGGAGGAAGACCCAGGAGGGGCTTCCTGGGCACCCCTGTGGGCTCAATTACCCAGGGCTTGAGCTGAGCCCCGAGAAGCCCCTGGCAAGCTTCCATGGCAGTAGGCACAATGTCCCCCATTGGCTCAGGTCACAGAGCCAGCCTTTCTTGTAAGGGAGCACCACAGGGTGAAGGGGTCCTCTTCATCTGGTGCCCACCCCACTAGACTGGAAACAGAGGCCATCCATGGCCAAGTGGCTGAGGCCCAAGTTTATGAGAATGGGAAGTTAAGGATTGCAAGGCAGGCACAGTGGATCACAGCTGCTTGTGATCGCAGCTGCGTGGGAGGCTGAGGCAGGAGGGTATCCGTCGGAGGCCAGCCTCAGCAACTTACAGAGATCCTGTCTCAAAATAAAAGGGCTGGGAAGTATCTCAGAGATAGATGGCTTGTGGGTCCAATCCCCAGTGTTGGGGGGAAAAATAACAAGAAGGAGTAAAAGTAGACTCCATCAAGTTGGGGTCCCTCTATCTGCTCCCATCCTCCTAGGGGAAGGAGGAGGGGATGAGGTTATAAAGGAGACAGGGAAAATGGCTGGGCCTGGGAGGCAGGTGTGTCGGCTCCCTTCAACCACCAAGGTGTGTGCCCCTAAGTCACCTGCCCCAGATCTAAAGGAGGGGACAGGCCTTTGGCTCCTCCAGTGCCTGGGGCCCAGCTGAGGGCCTTGGAGCCTGCCAGCGTAGCCTTGCCACCTTCAACCCCAGTCAGGGCACGGGCAGAATCTGAGACTCAGTTCAAAGTGGGTTCTCAAAGGTCAAGACCAAGGATTTCTGATTAGAAATTCAGGGGACAGCGAGGCTGGAATAGGACCTCTAAGACACCAGCAGCTCTGCCAGGAGCGGTGACATACACTTATAATCCCTGCGACTCGTGGGGCGGAGGCAGGAGGATGGAAGGTTTGGGATCAGCCTGGGCAAGGCAGCAAAACCCCGTCCCCAAATAAAAAGGGCTGGGGATGCAGTTTGGTGGTAGAGCACCTCTGGGTTCAATCCTCAGTGCTGAGAAAGAGACAGAAAGAGGTGAGGGCAGGAAGGGGGAGAGAAGGGAGAGAGAGGGAGTAGGGGAAAGGGAGAGAAAGGAAAGAGAGAAGGAGGGAGGAGGGACCCAGCAGACCACCATGCCTCCAGCTGCCAGCCGGGACTCCCCCGGTCCAGCTTGCAGGTGGCCTCTTGAACACAGCTCTGTCCTCGAGTCCAGCTAAGCCCTTTGCTCCACTGAGACAGGGGCCTAGAGGGAGGCCGGGGAATTCTGAATCCCRGGACCCCCACTCCCAGGGCAGTGGAAGCGGCCGGTCGGAGGGCTGAGGAGAGGAGGCTCTGGGTCCAGGCTGCCCCTTGCCAGCAGAGCCCCAGGCCTGCAGGAGCTCAGCACCTACCTCCTGGCCCTGCCCTGAGACTAAAGCAGATGGTGCCTGGAGTCCAGGAAGCACCCACAAATCAAAGTGCTATGACAGCAACAGAGACCACAGATTCAGGTGGGGAAAGGAGAAGAAAGATGAGGGGCCCCCGAAAAGTGGGGAAAGAGAGGCCACCAGGGAGAGCAGAGACCAGAGGGAGTCACTCCCTGCAGAGGTCCTGCAGGGAGGGGTGATGAGGACGTCCTGTGGGCCACACGGGAGTGGCCAATCTGGGGCAAAGCCAAGGGACACTCTGAGGGGTCCCCTGAGGTCAGGTGGGGCCGGCTCTTTCTATAAGCTGAGAAAGAGGTGTTTGTTGGCAAGTGTGAATGGTGCCTTTCGGTGCAGCCGTGTCTATTTATGGCACCCAAATGGGCTCATTAGCAGTTGTGAGCAATGGTTCAATAAAGCTGAGTGCACAGCCGTGCAGCCTCTAGTCCCAGTCCCTCGGGAGGCTGAGCAGAAGGATCACAAGTTCAAGGCCAGCCTGGGTCATTTAGTGAACCCTGTCTCAAAATAAAAAGGACTGGGCATGTAGCTCCGTGGAAGAGCACCCTGGATGGAGCTCGCAGTACTACAAAAAGAGAAAAGAAAAAAAGAAAAGAAATGGTCTAATGAGGCCCCAGGTCTTCTCAGGAGCAGGAGGCTGAGCACTTCTCTAGCTCTGCTGCCCGTCTGCCCTCACCTGACAGAAAAGGATTTGAAAGAATCCCTCCACAGTCCTCTGGGGAAAGGGTCAGACCAGAGGGGAAATGGGCCAAGATCCATCCGGGGAGCCTGTCCATTTCACTGGTGAGCACAGCCACCTAGGACCACAGAGCAGACAGGTGGAAGAAACTTCTGGAATGTATAAGTGCATGCTGCTTTTTATCAAATGGTGCTTTTAAAGTAATTCCTCTCCAAGCATTTTGCATCACTATCATAAAAAAATCAGAAACGGAGGCACAGAGAGGCAAAGAAACCAGTCAGGGGTCACAAGAGAGGTGACGCGCCAAGCTGAGCTAGGTCTCCCCATCCCCATGCCACCTGTGTGTACCGGGAACAGCGCGAGCACTGAGGGCATGGTGCAGAGGACTGTGCACCAGAGTCTGCTCCATCCTGATCTGTTGACCTGGGAAGGCCACTTCCCCACACAGGCTTAGTTTCCTCCCCTGGACCAGGTGGGCCTTAGGAAAAACTGTCCCTTAGAATCAYAGAAGGAGCTTTTTCAACTTTCCAGTGTCCAAGGGCCACCTGATGACCCTGGATGGTCACGGGTGGACTGGCTCTGATCAAGCTTCCATGCTTGTTCCAAGTAGGCAGAGTAAGGCCCCTCCCTGGCCAGTGCCCAGTCCACCCCCCACCCCCCACCAGCTAGGCATCTTGAGCCTGATACTTTGCCTGTGTGCTCTGGCTTCTTCACCTCTAAGGGGGTCTCAGAGGTGAAAAGAGCAGCCCAGCGGTTCTTCCTTCCAATGGTGCCTGGATTCCAGGGATTCAGCCATCCCAGGCAGAGGGACGGCTGAATCCCTGGAATCCAGTCTCTGATTCCAATCAGGTCTCTTCCTTTGTAGCAAGTCACAGCACCCTCCCTAGGCTGAACACTGCCCAGCCCTTTCTTCCCAAGGCCCCCCCACTGCTCCTAGCTCTCCGCTACCTCTCTCCAGCCCTGGCCCACCTGAAGGCAGCACTTGAGTTACTGCAGCGCCCCCTGCTGGCCTCAGTTGGATGGGCGCATGCTACGTCCACACCACTGCAGCCCCACTACAGAGGTGATTCTAGAATGCAATTCTGATCATGTGTCCCCTTCACTGAATAGACGGTCTGTTCTCATTTGGGAGGGAGGGGAGAACGAAATGGGTAGGTGAAGAAGACTAGGGGCTGGGGCTGTAGCTCAGTGGCAGAGCACTTTCCTCTCATGCAGGAGGCACTGGGTTCCATCCTCAGCACCACATAAAAAATAAATGAAGATGATTGTTACTTTGTATATAACCAGAGATATGAAAAAGTGTGCTCTATGTATGTAGTATAAATTGTAATGCATTCTGCTGTCATATATAACAAATTAGAATAAAAGATTTTTTTAAAAAAAGATTAGTATCAAAATGATTGACAGTCTGCAGGGCAGGAGCACAGCACATTTTGACATCTTTCTGTTTTTTCCCAAGTTTCCAAGATTTCTACCATGAATTTCTTTATAATGAAG